GGAGACCCAGGCTTCCTCTAGCGGGTCAGTACTCGTTTGGCGGGCCAGGCCGGGCTGGCGGGGCCAGGTGCAGTGCAGCGCCCTGCCGCCCTCTTGTCTTCTGCGCCCTGAACCCGTCGTTGGGAGGTAGGGGCGCGGGCGGGGAAGGGGGCGCTCGGGGCCGCCGCAGGGTGGGTTGGGGGAGGTGGCAGTTGGGGCGCGGGCGAGGTCAGCGAGGGCGCCCGAGGGGTGCTGGGACACCCGCCGAGCGGCCGGTGGAAGTTGGGTCCGCCTTGAGGGAGAAGGACCCGGGAAATAGGGAATCGTGGGAACGCGGGACAGAGCCCCACTGAGTCGGATCCTGTGTATTTCTCGTGTTTGTACTTCCATCTGCAGGATCTGGAGTGGAATGAGAAGGCCCACCCTCTTTGGGGGTTTCGTTTTGTCGTAGGCCGCCTTTTTTCTATTTTGGATGTTGAAACTTTGGTGCATTCTAAGCGATGTAGAAGTCCGATAGCCTCTTCCTCAGAGGCAGTTGATAATTAATGAAGAGTGCCCAAATTCTTTATTTATAACACCTTTCAAATAACACCAACCCCTTCAAGTTTTAAAATCTTTAATATTTTTACTTCTTTACTTCCTATCTTCTCCATCTAGTTCTCATGTAAATATTTGGAACCATTTCTGAGATCCTTATGCGATTCACTATCCATTTGCAGGGAAATTTCTTATGAAAATATTAACAAGCCACAATTTTTAGACAATTACTACTTCTGAAAAACCAATGGCACAGGATGGTAGCGGTATTTGGAAATACTTCTGATTAATGACATGGCAACAGTGATCAAATATTTCTCTTGCCTTTGCTCAGATTTCAAAACTCCATTGAGTATGCCTAAATATTACCAACCAGTCAGATTTCACCTTTCTTTACATTTAATGGTGGCACAATGCATATGCTTCTGATGATGGCAGTTGATCAGAAGCTGAAATGTAAATGCTGTGGATTTTTTAAAAAACTTAACATATTTTTTGCAAGCCATATGTTTATGGGCCTTTATCATTTTTTAATTATTAGAATAGGTGAATTTCTATTGCCTTTGCAGCCAAATTGTTTATAGATATTCCTATTATAAAAACAAAATGAAAATATCGCAATTACATTTAGCACCTTTTATTAGCAATTTCTTTGGAAGTAGTTAGGCTTGGCTTAACATAGGCCATGACTTGTTTTAATGTGATGGCGTAAAAAACATCTGTATGATACAAATTTCAAATGTAAGTGTTGAGAAACATTTGGAAGAACCAACTCACACAATAAACATCCCTGCAGTGTCTTTGGAAAAGTTTCCAGTACCAAATGATTGTAGAACCCTTTAGGATCCAAGAAAAGATTTACCATACATATGAGTGTTTATTTTTTTAGTGCTGAATTTCATTAGAATAATTAAAACTGCCAAGTTAGATGCATCTCTTTGGCCGTTAAAGATAGTTTGTTGACTCTGTTTTGGGATTTTTACAGCCCAAGAGAGCTGATACTCTCAGTGGGCTCTTAGTAGAATGATGTAAATGTTTTTTGCTGTGATCCTTTTCAGACTATCCACTCACAAAATTAATAAATGCACAGTGCTGATGCAGAGCTCTGTGAAGTCTAGTGAATATTAAATATCTTAATTAACATTTCCATAGCAAGTAGTGCTGAAAGTGTTACTTTAGTTCACTAATCTGGTAGGTTACTTAATGATAGTGTTCAAGACTTGCCTTTTCTGAAGATGCCAGCCCCACCCAAACTGATTATTTTTTATTATCAGCACTTAAACAGTATCATAGATTACTTGACATTTTAAAAATCTTTTATATGGTGTAAGTTTTATCCTACCAAGACTGTGAACATTTGTGTGCAAGTTCTTATGCAAACATATTTTCATTTCTGTTTGGTATATACCTAAGAGTGGAGCTGCTGAGTCAAATGATAACTATGTGTTTAACTTTTTGAGGAACTGCCAGGCTGTTTTCCATAGCAACTGCATCATTTTATATTCCCATCAGGAGTGTACAAGGGTTCCGTATTCTCTACATTCTTCCCAACACTTAATATGATCTCTTTTTGATTAGAGCCTAGTAAGTGAGAGTGAAATGGTATCTCATGTGGTTTTGATTGCATTTCCTTTAGAGCTAATGATGTTGAGCATCTTTGCCTGTGCTTATGGGCTATTTTAATATCTTCTTTGAAGAACTGTTCTTTTCAGAGCTTTTGCTTTTTTTAAAATTGGGTTGTCTTTTTACTGTTGAGTTTTACAAGGTGGATCAAACAATACGGTGAATATTTAAATAAAAAAAATTATTACAGTAAAAGACACATGGTCATTAATTCCCTGCAAAATACTCCTCCTTGCTTCGAACACACTTACCCATCATTCTTGCCACTTTCTGAAGCAGTCCTGGAAGTCCTCTTTCCGGAGTGTCTTTAGTTGCGCTGTTGTGGCTACTTTGATGTCCTGAATTGATTCAAAACATTTACCTTTCATGGTCATTTTGACTTTGGGGAAGAGCCAGAAGTTGCACAATGCCAGATCCAGTGAATAAGGTGGATGAGGACACACCATAATGTTTTTATTTGACAGAAATTGCCATACCAGAAGCAATGTGTGTCACGGAACCTTTCCATAATAGTTCTTTATATAATTTAGATACAAATCCTATGAGATATATGACTTGGAAATATTTTCTCCCATTCAGTGAATGTCTTTTCACTTCTTTAATGGTGTCCTTTGAGGCACAAAACTTAAATTTGAGTAAGTGCATTTTAGCTATTCTTTTTTATTGCTTATTGCTTTTGCTTTTGGTGTCATACCTGAGAAACCATTGCCAAATCCAAGGTTAGGAAGACTTATCCCTGTTTTCTTTTAAGTTTCAGTTCATACGTTAGGTCTATGAACCACTTTGAATTAACTTTTGTGTATATGAGGTAGGAGTCCAATTTCATATGCATGTGGATATCTAGTTATCACACGGTCGTTTATTGCAAAGACTTTTCCCCATTGAATTGTGTTGACACACTTGTTGCCCATAAATGTGAGTGTTTATTTCTGGATTCTCAGTTCTTTTCCATTGATCTTTAAGTCTGTTTTATGCCAGTACAACACTGTCTTGATTATTGTTGCTTGGTTTTAAATTTGGGGAAGTGGGTCCTCCAACTTAGTTCTTTTTCGATAATTGTTTTGGCTATTCTGTGCCCCTTGAATTTCCATGTGAATTTTAGAATCAGCTTGTCAATTTCTGCAGCGAAGTCAACTGGGATTTTAATAGGAGTTTGTTTACTCTGTAGATCATTTTGGGGAACATTGCTATCTTAACAATGTTAAGTCTTCCAATCCATGAACATAAGATGTTTTCCCATTTATTTAGGTGTTCTTTACTTTCAACAATATTTTGTAGTTTTCAAAATATAAGTTTTACATGTCTTTTATTAAATTTATTTCTTTATTATTTTTTAAATGCTATTGTAAATGGAATTGTTTCCGTAATTTGTTTTTCAGGATGTTCATTGTTAAGTTAATTTAATTTTTTTTCCTTTTTAAAGATTTTTATTGTGGAATTGGGGAAGGGAAACAGAGTTGGGAAATTGGCGAAGGGGAACAGCCAAGTTGTTTCTTAGTTGTGGAGGGCGCAGTTAGCTCAGCTCTCAAGTCCATTCACCATCCGGCCACCTGTTGGAGCTCCTGTCAAGGTGCCGTGTTCAATCTGAGTTGCGGGTGGGTGTAGTCTACTATCCCATGAGGGAGTTGAACCGGAAACCTTGTTGTTAGGAGCACATACTCTCACCAGCTAAGTCATCCTGCCATCTGTTGGCAGCTCAGCGGCAGCTCAGTTCGGACGCAGTTCACTGGCCCATGTGGGACTCGAACTGGCGACCCTGTTGCTCAGAGCTCATGCTCTTAACCAACTGAGCCACTTGGCTGGCCCCCAATTTAATTTTTAATGTGTTCAGCCAGAGATCTTCAGAAATAAGGACAGCATAATTTAGGAATGGAAAAGCAGTTTTCCTGTTAGTTTTGATTATTTTTGAATAAAATTTTAGTTTTAAATTTATATTGACTTATGGAAATCCTTAAAACTATTTCATGGATTTATTCCTAATATTTGTGGCAAAGAGATATTATTTTTCAATACATAGCTATAAAATTTAGTACAAGCCTTTGATTTTAACATGTGTACCATTACCCAGTTATTTCCTTGCGTTAATTTTCTAACTCCTCAATTATTCAATATTTAGATTAATGAGCTGGGAAACATATTTCCATTATAAAAAGAAAGTCACATTGGAATCCCATGTACTTATCATTTAGCTTCATTTACCAACTCATGGTCCCCTAGATTATTTTGCAGCAAATCCAGACATAAATCATTTCATCTATAAGTTACAAGTATAGTTTTACAAGACAGATTTAGTCTTTGAAACTATCTTATATTGGAACAAAACTTGCTCTAATTGTCTTTGCTTTAGAAGATGATTTGTTAAGATAGAGGAGTCAGTAATTAAATTTTGTTTTTATTTTGATACACAGGAGTCCAGGTCTTACGTAAAATGGATGTTTCTCACCTTGATACTGAATATTAAGTAGAAAATCTATTTAGTAAAATCTAAGCTGCCATGGAAGAAATACCAATAAAAGTTGCTGTAAGAATTAGACCTCTGCTATGCAAAGAAATTCTTCATAATCATCAAGTTTGTGTGAGAGTTATTCCAAACACCCAGCAAATTATCATTGGGAGAGATAGAGTCTTTACTTTTGATTTTGTTTTTGGGAAAAATTCCACTCAAGATGAAGTTTATAATATGTGCATAAAACCACTAGTATTGTCACTCATCGAGGGCTATAATGCAACTGTTTTTGCCTATGGACAAACTGGATCTGGGAAGACTTACACCATCGGAGGAGGCCATATTGGTAAGATTCCCATATTCTTTGACTTTTATTTGAGATCCTAGAAAGAAGCTAAAACATGACAGTACCTGACACACAGTAGGTACTTAGCACATTGATTGAATGAAATAATAGGATAATCAGTGTTCATAAGATCGTCATCTTTGAAACATTTGTTTTTAAATATTGAAGTTTCGTTAAACAGTTTAATTTATGATTATATTTGCTTGAAAGAAGTTTAAGATGTTGTTCAGTGTTTAGCCCTTTTCTTTTTTTTCCAGTTTTATTGAGATAAGTTGACATATAACATTGTGTTAGTCCAAGGCGTACAACATAATGATTTGATATATGTTTATATTGCAAAATGGTTACCACAGTTCAGGTAACATCAATAACCTGACAGTTACAAACATTTTTTTCTTGTGACAAGAACTTTTAAGATCTACTGTCTTAGCAACTTTCAAATATACAGTACAGGATTGTTAACCGTAGTCATCATGCTGTACGTTATATCTCCAGGACTTATTTATCTTATAACTGGAAGTTTATACCTTTTGACCACCTTCACCCCTACCCCACACCAAACCCACCTCTGGCAACCCTTTGTCATTTTGAAAATAATTTAAATTAGAGCGATATGAGGTAACATGATCAGATTTTGCATCTTTTAGTAGTCCACTTGTAAATATTAAGAGTCCTGCAACCAGGACTTAGAGGCAGTAAGATAAATTTATTATGTAGTTTAAAGTGTTTTTTTTTTTCCATTTTCTAGCCAGATTTCTATTTTCTTCAATTTTATTGAGGTATAGTTGACAAAGAAAATTGTAAGATATTTAGAGTGTACATCATCCTCCCTCCTTTCTTCCCTTCCTTTCCTCCTTCCCTCCCTCCCTCCCTCCTTTCTTCCTTCCCTCCTCTTCCCTCTCTCTCCTCTCTGACATTGACGACACAATGAAGAGATAACCATCTGTAAAACAGGAAGACTGCCCTGACCAGACATCAAATATGATATGCAGCTCCTTTATCCTGGACTTCCCAGTCTCCAGATATGTGAGAAATAAATGCTTAGGCCACCCAGTCTGTGGTATTTTTGTTATAGCAGTCCAAACAGACTAAGACAGTTGTCAAGCTCAAGATAAAGGGCATGTCAATAAGACTGTGCACATGGCATGGCTGAGGTCAAGGGTAATTTAGTTTCCTAGGGCTGCTGTAATGTAATAAAACTGGGTGACTTAAAACGACAGAAATTTATTGTATTACGGTTCTGAAGGCCTGAAGTCCAGAATCAGGGTGCTGGCTGGTCCATGCTTCCTATGAAACCTGTAGGAGAGAAAACTTCCTTGCCTATTGCAGCATTTTGGTAGTCGCAGTTGTTCCTTATCTTGTGGCACCATCACTCCAATATTATTTGCATGGCCAATAATAAAATAGTAGACAACTGACTCAGAATTGGTGTATGAGAAATTGAAAATGCTCAATAATTTCACTAGTACAACTAGAATATGACTTCAAACAACACATTACAATTTTTCACCTATCAAATGGCAAAAAAAACATTTTGGATTTATAATATCCAGTAAGCGATAAGGATATGAACAAATATTTTGCTTTCATATATTGGTGGTGGGGATATAAACTGCTAGAAACCTTTTTGGAGAGTAATTTGTCAGTATCTATCCACATTTTAAATGTGCATACCCTTTGACTCAACAAATCCACTTCTAGGAATTTATTCCCTTGAAATACTAACACACAGGTGCAAAATTAAACATACAAAGATATGCACTGCAACTTTTTTATAATAGTAAAAACCAGAAGTAACTAAAATTTCCATTAATACTGGAATGAATGAACGAACCATGACCCATTCAAACTATGAAATAATATATACCCCCAAAACTGAGGTGAAATTCTATGACCCAAATGGTTGAGGAAATGAAATAATATTGGATATGGTTAAATGCAAACAGAAAGTTACAGAACCACAGGTATAATATCTCATTAAACAAAACAAAAAAGACAAAAGCTATGTGTGTATTTGTAATATGCCTAGAAAAATGTCTAGAGAACTCTGGAATTGGTATACATCAAACTTTTATTTCTTGGGGATGAAAGGAGTTCTCATTTGTTTGATTTCTTAAGCATCACTTGGCAATTGTTTTTACAATGAACGTTATTTAAAAGAAAAAAAATGGACAGCCGCTCACAGCAGTTCACGAAAGCTCACACTGTCTGCCAGCCAGCCCCACTGCAGCCTACGCCATCACTGGCAACTCACAGCAGCCCAGCTCCAGGTCGAGCTGTTGTTCACCATCTTAGCTGTAGAGGGCGCAGTGTCACTGGCCCTCATGTGGGATCCGAACCAGGGGCCCTGCTGCTCAGAGCTGGCGCTCCCAAGCTCACTCTTAACCAATGTGCCACTCGGCCGGCTCTGAAATTCAGCTTTTTGATAAGTTTTGAATTTTTATGTTTTTGTGTTATCTGTTGAAGTGAGCAATTATCAACTCTATATTCTGGCTAATCTAGAATGCTTGCTATTGGCTAGTTCCTGGAAGCTCTCAAAAAGGAATATTCATTCTCCCTTGTGTTGGAAAACCTGCAGCTTCCTTTACTTGCCACACGATGGCAGTATTGCATCTTAGTTTAGGTGAAAGGCAACCCAATTTAATAGAGGTTCAGATTTTTCAGGATGATTGTTGCCAAAAATCTAAACATTGGTAATTTTCAGCTTGGAAACAAGTTGTTCTTAAGGTTCATTTTTAAGCCAACATTTTGTAGCTTGGGATATATTTTCCATGGAACAATGCTAAACATGGTGGGCAGTTTTCTAAATTGGCCTATAGAAACCTATTTAACCTAATTCCCAATTTATTTTGTCACTTATTTTAAAATTTTGTCTTGTACATTTTTTTTTTACTGTTTTAAAAATTTGCCATTTTAACCGTTTGTTGTGGTAAAATACATAAAATAAAATTTACCATTTTAATCATTTTTAGAAGTACAATTTTGTGACATTACGTTGATACCCATTAAGAAGTAACTCCTCTCCCCCATCCCCTGGTAACCTATAATTTACTTTCTTTCTCTATGAATTTTCCTCTTCAGATATTTCATAGAAGTGGAATCATACAATATTTGTCTGCCTGTGTCTGGATTCTTTCACTTAGCATCATATTTCCAAGGGCATCCTTTTTGTAGCATATATCAGAACTTCATTCCTTTTTTATGACTGAATAATATTCCATTGTATCCATATTTCACATTGTGTTTATCCATTCCTCTGTTGATAGACACTTGAATTGTTTCCCCCTTTTGGCTATTGGGCATAATGCTGCTGTGGACATTGGTGTAGAAGTATCTGAGTCCCTCGTATGCATTTTTGTTCATTCATAATGTTATTGTACTGATCTGTGTTCTGGGTTGTGGAAGTGATGGAGGAGAAAGGTATATAGTCTTCTGACTCTGCTTTTTTCCTTGATCTCATCTAAATACCATCTATATATATTAATAGCTGACTTCCAATTTTTTTTTAAATTGGGGAATTGGGGGATGAGAATAGTGTTGGGGAATTGGGGAGGGGGACCAGCCAAGTTGTTATTCTTCAGTCTTAGTTGTGGAGGGCACCAGTGGCCATCTGGCTGCCCGTCGGCAGCTCGTGGTCTCTAAGCTCAAGGTGCTGTGTTACAATCTTAGTTGTGGGTGGGCATAGCCACCATCCCATGCGGGAGTCGAACCCGGCAGCCTTGTTGTTAAGAGTGCACGCTCTATCCACTGAGCCATCTGGGCGGCAGCTCAGCTCAAGGTCCTGAGTTCAGTCTTAGTTGCAGGTGGGTGTAGCCATCGAACCGGCAGTCTTGTTGTTAGTAGCCTGTGCTCTCACCAGCTGAGCCATCCTGCCACCTGTTGGCAGCTCAGCTTGGGCGCAGTGTCACTGGCCCATGTGGTAATCGAACCTGCGGCCCTGTTGCTTAGAGCTTGCGCTATTCAGCTAACTCTTAACCAACTGAGTCACTTGGCCGGCCCCCAATTTTTAAAAAATCTTCAGTCCATACTACTGTCTTGAACTCTGGACTCATACCCAACTGCCTATTCAGTCTTTTCAATTGGATGCCAAGACATCTCAGTTGGATGCCAAAAGACGTCTCAAGCTTAACTGGTGAAAAAATGAACTTCTGTCATTTTCTCCTCAAACCAACTCAGTTCCCACTCTTCTCCACATTAGTTGATGGCAACTCCAGTGCAGTGGCTCAAGACAAGCCTTGGAGTCGTCCTTGACTCGTCGCTTTCTCTCACATTCCACATCCAATCTGTCGGGGAGTCTTAATGGTGCTCCCTTCAACATAAATCCAGAATCTGGTCACTTCTCACCTTTTCTCTGCTACCATCCAGCTTTGAGCCACCATCATGTCTACCTCCCAACACTTTTGACTCTCGGATTACTGCACTGCCTTTCTAAGTGGTCTCCCCCCATCCACCCCTGCCCTTCTATGGTATATGCAAAACACAGCGATCAGAATGGTCTCTTAAATCCAAAGTTACTGCTCTCTTCCAGTGGCTCTTGTCTCACTCAGAATAAAACCCAAAGTCTACCGTGATCTACAAGGATTTTAATGTTCTGGCTTCTACCCTCTCTCTGACCTCATCTCCTGTTACTCTCCACTTGCTCTCTCTGCTTCAGCCACACTGGCCTCCTCGTTTATGGACCACACCAGTTTAGAGCTTTTGTACTGGCTGTTCTCTCTGCGTGGGCCACTCTTTCCGCAGTTACCCACATGGCCCCTCTGCAACCTCTTTCAAGTCTTTGCTCAAATGTCAGCTTCTCAATGGTGCCCATCATGACTTCCCAACTTGAAGTTGCAAGCAACTGCCATCTAACTATACCCACACTTCCAGTTCCCCTTACCTTGCCCTGTTTTTGTAGCTGGGCATACCTATTACTTTGAATATACCATTTAATTCACTTAGTTGTTCTTTTTTGCTACTGTCTGTCTGTCCTCAGTACAGCCTCACAAGGGCCGGGATTTTTTTCTTTTTTTCCACTAATGGTTCTCAGGGGCCTAGAATACTGCCTGGCACATAGTAGGTATTAAATAAATATTTGTTGAATGAATGCATGACTACATTTTGAGTAAGGGCATGAATGTGAAAACGTTTTGGGGCCTGCCGAGTGGCGTGTTGGTTAAGAGTTGGCTTGGGACACCGGCTCTGAGCAGCAGGGTCCCGGTTTGGATTCCACATGTGGGCCAGTGACGCTGTGCCCTCTACAGCTAAGATGGTGAACAACAGCTTGACCTGGAGCTGGGCTGCCGTGAGTTGCCAGCGATGGCCTAGGCTGCGGTGGGCCTGGTTGGCAGCTGGCGTCAGCTTTCGTGAGATGCAGTGAGCCACCGTCCAATGGTCGGCGAGTAACTGCCTCACTCGGGAAGAGCATAATGATAATACCAACATGGGCCAGTGAAGCGACCGTCCTCCACAACTAGACTGAAGAACAAAAGGACAGCAACTTGTCTGTGCCCCTTCCTCGATTCCTCAATGCTGTTCCCTCCCCCAATTCTCCAATAAAATCTTAAAAAAAAAAGTTTATGAATTTTATGGTTATGGTTTAAAAAATTATATAGAGAATTGTAAGAAAATTAATTTATTGATTGTAAATTTGATGTAGCTTTTTAAATTAACTTTCATGTGTGCTTCTAAATTTTTAGCTTCAGTTGTGGAGGGTCAAAAGGGTATCATTCCTCGAGCTATCCAAGAAATATTTCAAAACATCTCTGAAAATCCTAGCACTGATTTTAAAATAAAAGTGTCATATATAGAAGTATATAAGGAAGACCTAAGAGATCTTCTAGAATTGGAGCCATCTATGAAAGATCTTCATATACGAGAAGATGAAAAAGGAAACACAGGTAAAGTAGCCTACTTAATTGATAGCCATCTTTAGAAAATAGATATGACTTAATTCAGTTTCTCGATAC